TCGTTTTTACGCACTACAGAATCCGAATTTCTTTGTATATAACAACACTTCTCCGAAAAATTCTTTCACCCTATAAACTTTAAAACTACGAATTCCTTTGTAATCAAATCAAATACTTATCTAAAATTCCTTTTACCCTATAAACGTAAAATGGTCTATATTCTTTATATAAAACTCTCATTTTCAATACTTACAAGCTAATCTAAAAAGTACATCAAACTAAAATAAAAATTATATGAAACTTCTGCAAAAATACTTTGCCCTACAAACTTAACAGTCAATTTTCTCCGTTTAAAACAATTTTGTAAAAATTCTTTCCAACTATAAACCTTAAACGACGTATTCCTTTCTATAAAACACATATCTTAATATTCTTTTTTCCCTATAAACCTTATAAAGCTGGCGTTCTTTGTATAAATTCTTATTTGCTAATTGTCTTGCGCTACAAAACCTACAAAAGCCGAATTTCTTTGTAAACACATCTCTAAAAATTATTTCGTCCTATTAACCTAATAACATCCAATTTTCTTGATTATACCACTTCTGTAAAAAAATCAGCCTAATAAACCTTAAAACACCGAATTTCTTTTTGTAATATTGATCTTAAAATTATTTTGCGCTATATGCCTAACAAAGTCGAATATCTTTGCATAAAACACTAATTTAGTAACTCGTTAGAAGAGAGCTCAAAGTTCTGTGTAAAAATAGTTAATCTTCCTTCAAAGCTTTCAGAATAATCCCTCGCCCTATAATGGGAATAAATTTGTACAAAACACTAGACATTAATTTCCTCGCAATATAAAACCTAAAAACAGCAAAATTTCTTTCAATAAAACACTAATCTAAAATTCTTTCGCCCTGTAAACTACAAAAATTCTATTTGTACGCAAAGTTAATTGTATACTCATTGACTATCTCACGTCTCCGAAAATCCCGTCGCCCGTAAGCCTTAAAAATTTACATTTCTTTGTATAAAGATACACCTAAAAATGTTTTTGCCCTTAAACGAAAAACACGCCGAATTTCTTTGTTTAAAAATTAATCTACAAATTCTTCTGCCCTATAAACCTTAAAGTCATATTTCTTTGTAAAATAGAATCTTAAAGCTCATTCAAAGAGTATTTACTCAAACAACTAGAAAATTACTTCATCCTATAAACTTTCAAAAGTCAAACTTTTTTATGTAAAACCTAACAAATTCTTCCACCCTATGAAACCTCAAAATAGCCAAATTTATTTCAATACAACACTTCTTTCGTACTGTAAATTTAAAAATTGAATCTTTCGATGTAAAGTGCATTCAAAACTTACACAAGTAAGTCGCTCTGTAAAACTTAATAAGTTACGTTTTTTTGTATAAAGATTTTGTATAAAGAAAGTTGAATTTCTTTGTATAGAAAACCAATCTTAGTATTATTTCGTCCTATAAAACCATACATTTGCCAAGTTCTTTAACCAACACGCCAATGTAAAAATTCTTCAGTCCTAGTAATTTCAAAAAGCTTGAAAGCTTAGAATCTTACGGTGCGAAGTTCATATTAAAATGTATTTATTATTTTTCGTCCTGCAAACCTAAATTTTTTTTCTTTATACAAAACATTAACCCACATAAATATCATCAAATAAAACTTAAACTTTTATTGTAAATACTTATCTACAAATTCTTTCGCGCTATTAAACTTAAAAAATAGAATAATTCTGTACCTAGTTCTTTAAAAGCTTATTTACTAACGAGTATTTGATAATTCTTTCGTCCTATAATAAATCTAATACGTCGAAATTCTTAAAATTCTTTTGACCTATAAACCTAGCAAAGTCGGATTTCTTTGTATAAACTATGATTTACGTACTACAAAACCTACAAAATTCAAACTTCTTTATGTAAACTTGGTACTTATATTTTTGCAGCCTATAAAACCAATACTAAAAATTCTTTCGCCCTGAAATTCTAAAAAATAATTTCATTTCAAAAAAAACATTAGCCCACTAAGTAATTAATTCGTCATATAAAACTTACTAAACTTTTATTGTAAATACTTATTTAAAAAAAAATCGCCCTATTAAACCTAAAAAAAATAGAATTTATCGATGCCTACTTCATTCAAACCTTATTCACTAACGAGTATTCGGCAATTCTTTGGCCATAAAAACCTAAAAAAAACTCTTTCGCCCTATAAACTTAATACGTCGAATTACTTCGTATAAAATAACAATCTTAAAATTCTTTTTGTTCTATAAACCCAACAACGTTGGATTTCTTTGTATAAAACGCTAATTACCTATGTAATTTTAAAACCTACAATAGCCGAATTTCTTTGTAAATAACGTACCTTAAATAGTTGAATTTCTTGCAATAAAATAATCTCAAATTTCTTTTGCACAATGAACGTAAAACAATAACATTCTTTTAAAACACTCATATTTTGAATTCTTTCTTGCTATAAGACCTCATAAGCCGATTTTTTTTATTCAAACAGATTCTAGAAATTACCTTTTAATAACTATTTAATTTTAATAAATTTTAATTATTTATGTTATTTACTAATTACGTGTCTGAAAATTCCGTAAAGTAAACCTTAAAAGGTCAAACTTCATTGTTTAAAAAAATACTAATATGTTCTTCCGCCCTAGAAACCTAAAAAAGTCAATTTCTTTGTCTTCAAGTTCTTTCGCCCTATCAAACCTATATAATATAGCATTTATTTAAAAAAAAACACCTATTTAAACTAACAAAAATAAATAAACCTAAAAACTATAATTATTCCCTGCCTAATTAGTTTAAAGCTTATTTCCCATCGCGTCTCTAAATTTTTATTCGCCCTATGAACTTAAAAAATCAAATTTTGTTGTATAAACATCTTTTAAAACATTTTCGCCGTAGAAAAGAGGAATTTATGATTTAAACTATGATTTTGTACAGTCAAAAAACGAATAGCTTACTTCATAATATAGCTATTTTCTCCCAAATAATTCCTCTAATATAAACTTCAAGTTATTAGAGTGTAAAGAGTCTAAAATAAAACAAATAAAATTTATTTTTTTGTATCTCGTTGCATGTTTATTTGCAGTCTAATAAATTCTATTGTAATCACTTTTTCCGTTATACGCATTTACCCTGCCAAAAACACGCCATATTTGAATAGCTTGGTTTGTATCTTTCTCATAAATGAAATGCCCTGCCCTGTAATTCATTGCAATATAAACTACAATCATTTATTTTTCGTACATTCTAAAGTTGTATAGTATGTTTTCTTGCAAAATTGATTTGCTCCTAAATAATAAATTAGTAACCAAAAAAAAATTTATTTTCCGATTGTTTCCTAATTTTATAAACAAAATAGCCGTGAGAAACTAAGTCTAATTTCTTAGATCATATAAACATTAAATCTTACAACGCCCAATTTGTTAACATTTTATCGAGAAATATTATCCTACGTAAATAATTCTTCCAGATATAAAGGATAATAGTAAATTAAAACAGAATAAACAAAAAGTGAGTGAACTATCATACTATAAATAAAAAAAGTTAAAATTCTTTCGCCATGTGAATCTAAAAAAAGGTTTTTATTTGTGTTATAAATATTAAACCTTACTGCGCCATTTCGATCTACACTTATTTATCATCACTATCTAATCATCCAAAAATACTAATCTAAATACTATCTCATCCAAAACTTCTGCTGTGTATTTCTAATTTTCTATACTAGCGTAACTATATCATAACCATTATTTCCTATAGTCATGAGTTTTAAAATAAATCTTATTTCTACTTCCGCAAAATAGCGGTGTCCGGAAACCGTAAGCCCTACACTACTACATCTCCGTTGGTTCTATTTAGAAAGATTGTCTTTGTTCATATATATCAATACTTAATAAACTGCTTTAAATTTAAACCATAGACAGTAAAATAGATTATTTAATTTTCCGTAGTTTAAAATCACCTAATATCATTGATCATGTGTATTTCATGTTTAGTATGTTTTCGGACTTTTATAGAAGAAGACGGCCTACAAAGCTTTTGCTTTGCTTGTCTTGTTTACTAGACTACGGCAGCGAAAAGGCTAACTAAAATATAGCCAGAATTTTTTTGCGAAATCAAACAGCGCTAAGTTTTCTTTCTATGCTAGTGCAATGCGAAAATTCCCCTCGTCACGATAACATTTCTCTTTCACGCATTTGTTCTGCTTATGCAAATTATCATTTTAATTGATTACTCTGAATAAAAGCAATAATTTGCACCGTAATAATTTAAAAAAAAATTGAAATGACATCAAAAATAAACATTTTCGAAGGCTGTATTGTACAGTAACAAAATAAGTCAAAAACCTTTGCTCCGTGAATCAAAAACGGCCTAATTTCTTTGATGGTACGAGTATAAAACTTACAGCGCCTACTATTATGTTTTACTATATGTTTATAGACTAACACTAACTGAAAGATTCTACTATTATTTCACTACTACTTGGTAAATAATTTCGTCTGTATTAATTTTTTTACCTACAAAGTTAAAAAAAGAACATTATAAATTAGAATGCTTTAACATAAGTATCTAATTCTTTACATTAAGTATATAAATCTTGGAACAAATACCATACAATTTTTGGGAAAAATTGGCTTCACTTTTGCAGTCTGGTTTATGCATCTCAATTATATTATGCAAGTAATACGTAGTAAAAACAGATTTCATGAAACGTTCTATCGTAATCGAAAAGTAATGTAAAATTTTCAATACAATATCTTACGGTAAAATAAAGAAAAACGTAACTTTACACATAACGTTACAGCAGCGGCGCATAGCCTTAACTGTATGGTTCTAGAAATTTACCGAAAACAAAGAGCCGTCTAAATAATCCCTACCTAACTCAAACCGAGAAATACTTTTGATCAAGTCCATAGACAACTACTTTGCAAATCCAAAAATGGGCTTTTGTTTACGCAGGGCGGTTAATAGAAATAATTTGAAGAGTTAAAAGAAATTGAAACATTTTGTAGATCCTTACCTCACATCTTACTTTCCCGAACAGGATACAAGGCAAAATAAATTAACCTCATGATGGATTGTCTTTATTGTTCAAAGGTAGTTTTAACTATTACATTCTAATGTATTTTGTGGAAAGTGAACATTCAGTATATTCTAATATCGTTCCATGTTTATTTTAATATGTATTTCTCTTTTCAAACAGTTATTTTTGTATTTATCTATCGTACTGCAATATTCTGTTCAGATAGCCGACTTATTCACGATCTATGGCCTCCAATCTCTACTGGATACGGAAAATTCCTACCCAGACTCCTAACTAAAAATCCTCCTTCCAATAAACCGACCGGTAAGCTCCGACTCGACCTAAATAGATCATCTGAAAATTAATTATAGTTTTGCATAGAATCTTTATGGCACACAATATTCAACGTTATACGATAAAAAGTTTAACACATGCAAGTTTAATATCTGCTTTTTCTAATCTTGACAATGTTTTCCATACACTTTTCGTATGGTACGAGAAAAGTTTAAGAAAAAGCAAAATGTTTTGTATTTTCTCTTTTTAAGCGCTTGGTGACGAATGATTTTAATCAAATACTTATGCGCTATGAACAAGTGAAAATTAGTGTTATTGTATAAATGATATTTGTTTTTTTTATAATTATTGTGTAGGGGAACCGATTCAATGGTTAAGCTACTGCTAAATGAGCTAACTTAAGCTATATTTGTGTAAATATTTTCTTCGGTTATAACGATTTTAAATACCTTAGTTTTCAAAAAAATTGATTTAGCGCCGCCTGGTCCTGACGACTATTAACGCGCCTTATTATCGACTTGATTATAAGCCAATATGTATTACTACAGAGTAGCTGCAATCATACGCCCTGCTTGGATGCTGAACATTGTGTGGGACAACGGCGGCGGCGGTGATGATTGAAGCAAAATAAATCAAAACTCCTGAAATATTATAAAATGGAAATATAACGGATCAATCTCATTTCCTTCTTTGTTGCATGAGTATATGTATGGGCTAAGTGTTAATACAAAAGAAATTTCATTACGCTAGAATTACTTAAATATTAACACTACTTTGGTGGTATCCTAGATAAAAAATTTACAAAAATGTTAGTGTATACCCCAACAAATTTCCCAAAGTTTACCTACTTATACTCAATATTAAATCGAATAATATTAGTAAACGAATAAAGTTTCAAACAATCAAACATTAGCATAATAAAATATTTTTAGTGGGTAAGGTATATAGTCCAGCAAATTCTTGATTCTTTTGCATATATTATAAAGTCTGTTGCAAATATTCATTGAACGTCGTTGATATTCTTGTACGCAGTAATAAAAATAATCTTAATCTAATCCTTAAAACTATGACTTAATTATCTAAAAGGTCAAGATGACGTCACGTAATGGCGTCATTACAGAAATGTGGCACGCAACGTCAACTTCCTAAAATAGAATGTTTAATTAAAAATTTAAATTATGAATCTTGTGCTATGAAAGTAAAACGATTGTTTTACGAATCAAAAATCTAATAATGTCTTTATACTTTAACAATTTGCAACGTCACCATTAAACCAACGTCGCCATTTTGAATTTTATGCCTGACCACGCCCTATCGACCATAGACCACAAGTACAATTGGTGCGCAATTACAAAATACGAGTTATTAAACTGTATCACAATACCTATATTACATAAAATATTTCAAATTTTAATTACCTACCTCAAATATTACACGACTTGGGAGATGTCTGCAGTTTTCGTCAACCGGGCGATGACGGCCATCTTGGCATGAATCCGCTGCTCACGGCGTAATAAAATTCAGCTTACAATACTTAACGGCTTTCGACTCCTACTACTTATATCCTACATTTCTACAATATCCCATTAAACTAATCCTACAGTAGAAGAATAAAAATCTAGCTTTTAAAAACATTTTCACAACGACCCAACCTCTCTACTAAGTCCCCCAAAACAGTATGACGTGCGCCAATCTGCGGAGCTTTTTATATGCAGACGACATCTATATAACCTTGCTAAATATAAACGTACACATATTGGACGGCACACCCCTTTTGACAGTGTACTTATTATTTAGTAAGATTATGCTTCCAGAACATTCTACAGTAAGGGTAAAAGAGACAAAGCTATGCGATGAAAAGAAAAGGCTATACATGTTCTAGAACAATCCATTCCAATGACGCAGCTGTACAGGGTGCTAGAAAGAGATATCCAAGTAGACAGAGAGAGACAAAACTATTGCGGGTAACGATGGAAATTTCCAGAGCTTGAGAATCGGAATACCAGTTATCAATTCTATGTTTGCCAACATTTATTTAAAATGTGGTGCATGATAGCCTCAGCTAATGAAAACTTAAAACACAATGACTTACCCTTCAAATCTATTAGTTTAATAATAATAATAAATCTTTTTATTCAGACATATGGTCCATACAAAGCAAAAAATACAAATTAAAAATTCAGACACAAAAATAAAAACACAAAATAAAACAAAACTCTTTAGATCACATAGATCATCATATTTAATGCAAGCAGCGCTTAGCCTTAAACATTTATAACAATTGCTATATCGGTTCACCCAAGCTTGGAGTAAAACATTTTCGGGATAGTTTTCAGTTGTAGTGGCCAAACTATAGTTTCAAAGAATGTAGTGTTGGCTAAATGGGCTAAAATTTTGTTTTTTCCAACACCAATATTTTCGAATATAACTTGGGAAATTTTGAATGCTGTCAACACTGTTGAACCTATATTTACCGAGGGTAAACTAAGGTATTCAAATACTTCTGTCTCACTTTAGCATTGGTACATGTAGCATTTGTCCTTTTCTCATGCTTGATATTGATTGCGTTCCACGCTTTGGTTCCAACTTGGAAATGTAATGGCAGTTATGAATAGGGTAGAATAGATATAATGTTATATCAATTCATGTTTTTTACTAATTTAAGATTTAAAAGACTAGAGTTGGATTCAAAAAGTAGCCCCAGTTTTTCACTTACTCTTGCACGCCCAATTAAAATCATTAGTTCATACAAATTTTCTGAAAAAGTTCTATGTATTTTTGTATGTCTTGCTTTTGTCATCGCAAAAGACTGTCATTGGATATGAATACAAATCTATATAATTTGCTGTCCTAACTTGGAAAACTAGATTCGTGTAATCCAAGCTAAAGATGTTAGAGGAAACTAAGTAGGTATATTAGCTATACTATACTACCTAATAGTCTTTTGTCTTTTAATAACGATAATGAATAAACAACAATTTAGGTCCAGTATCACATGGTCCAGGTAACTCCTAAATAAGCTACTTGGACCTTATTTGTCAAACAAAGTCGTCGATGGCGTCTTTTCATTGTCATAAATCATACCAATATTATAATTGCAAATGCTTAGATGGATGGATGTTTGTTTTGAAGGTATCTCCAGAACTGCTGAACGAATCTCGATGAAATTTGGCATACATATAGAACATAGTCTGGAAGACCATGTGGTCTATGTAGGCTGCTAATTATATATTTTTTAACATCAGGCGAACGGTGTCGCGGGCGACAGCTTGTCTAATATAAGTCATTTAGGATTTTTATAATAGGTCAGAAATTCTTTAAAAACGAACTAACAAATAGTGTATAATGAGCTCATACTAACTAGAAAAGGACAAGGAAAAAAATGTTGCCACTATTTAATTTTATAAGGTGGTAAAGTAGCTAGCGGCTACTTTTATGCATAGTGTACTGGGCATGAAACTAGCATAGTGTATTTGGGCTTTTAGTTTTATGTAGATAGTTCGATTGTCAGGTCTGATGAACTGTGTTTTCAAAAACCTTTTAATACATCTAAATAGAAATAATCCCTTTAACTAAAAGAACTCTTCATCGACTTATCCTAACGATGGCATTGAGAAACTTCAATCTGTATTTCAATTAAATTCACTTTGTTTTAATGACTTAACAAACTACGTCTCTAATTACCTTATTCCCTAAAAAAAAAAAAGGCTGGATATAAAAAAAACTAATTATGTCAATTTGTAAACGAATTGTCGTTTACTAATGAGGTCGTAAATATGAAATAATTAGCTGACACCCGCTTTCGAAGTACAAAAATTGCATTTATTTTTATACATTGGGTCAAGAAATTATCAGCAAAGTATTTGTAAGAAAAAAAAATCTTTCCTTTACCAACTGTGCACTAAATGTTAAACCTAAAAACAAATGACAATTGTTACTACTGGTTACCCAACTCATTAGTAACTACTTCCATTTTAACAGTGGAAGATGCCAGAAACAACATCTATTGCACGAATGGGCCAGTTCACCCGGTCACCACGACCACACAGAAGATAGGTGTGAAGTGAAAGCAATTCCACGTTTCGTCTAATGAGAGTGGTGTCGTAGGCCTGATTTTAGTTTTATTTCATTTCTCACCCTTTTGTAATGAGGAAGGGATGCCAGGGGATTTGACTTAAGACGTGACGCATAGACATAGAAAGGGAAAATATTCCCTTACTGTGTGTCTCCTCCTATTAAAGGTAGTCAAAGCATTCGTAATTGCGGATGTCTATGGACAACGATTGCTCACAATTTCGGCGAATTCAAGTGGCGGTTTGCTCGTTTGCCACCTATTAATTTTAAAGAAAGTAATAAAATCCCAAAACCTGTCACAATTTACCAACAACAATCGTACCACCCACCCGCCTACAGTTATTTGTAGACGCAAAGTATTTAATTTTTCCGTTAAGGAATGTTTGCTTTACCTGGCTATGGCCAGTTTCCAATATGGTAAGGTTACTTATTTTGGTGCGGTCAGTATGCATTAAATACACAAAACTCCATGTTTATGTTTTTATATTGAAAAAGAAGAGAATTAGAGTCTACTACTAACTATTCTTTGTTGTAAAGTGTTTCGAAAATGCTATATGCTCTTTGATCTGAATTTTTTTTTGTTCTTTGATCACTGACCTCTGAACATGGATATGCTATAAATCCTGTATTTTGTGCTCATTTGATCATCGCCATTTTGGAATTTTCTTTTGAAGTTGGTACAGGTGGTTCGGATTTAAATAAATAATAGTATAATAATAATAATAACTAATAATATTAGAGATAAAATTAACTGGCTGGAACTTCAACTATCGCGTTTAAGTCAGTTTGCGCCCGAACAACAAAAGCTATGATTTCAAAGCAAAGGCCTATCCATTTATAGAGATCAGTGTCTTTGATCGAAATAAATGATGACAGTGACAGATTAGTCGATCAGTCAACCTTGATTCAACCAGTCACAAAGTCAGTTAGTGATAATTATGTGACATCGATAATTTTTTTCTGATATTGTTTCAGTGCTTTCACTATTATTTATTATATTATAGTTTTACAATGGCTCCGAATTTTAGTAAAATTACTTCAAGAACAGATGTCAAGATTGCAATAGCTGCTACGGCGGCAATCAGTGCATGGTTAATAAAGAATTCTATAAAAACTAGGTAACTAAACATATCATTATTTTAAATAGTACTAAAATAACTTTGATAAAATTAGATTTTTGAATTTAAAATATATGTTTTAGACTTGCAGCAAAGAACGATATTTAAGTCCTTTACTCCCATGCAACTTGTACAGGTTTTTATTCCAGATCTATGCAGAAAATGGTTTAAATAATTGATCACATTTAGCGTTAAGAATTTAACGGCCCACTTTATCATGAATACTATGCAAAACACAAATATATTTTAAATAACAAATTGTTGTAACATATTTTTCCTTAATTTGCTTATCAATGTGCTGGTTAATTTCTAATTTTGATTGTAGTGTCAGCTGAGTTGTCGTAGAAATAAAAAAATGTACTACCAATTTTCGTCTGCCTGCTTAGTAATATTTTATTTTGTGAATTCTAATTTGTACTATTCCATAATGACCATATGACCCTTTTAATAATTGTTTTTTTTTTAAATTTTACTTTACTCAACCAAATTCTCACTTTCTGATTTCTGTTATTTAGTAAAACAAAATGTCCACGGCCTGGTCAACTCTCTCCAGAAGAGAGAGTCCAATACATGATAAAGGAAAAAAACAAAAAGGATCCTAAGGCGCAAGTGAATGCAAGATTCTTTGCCGAACTGAAAGTACTATGGAAAATTATGGTGCCTGGATTGTGGTCAAAGGAGAGTGGTTTCATGGTGTTAATAGCAATGGCTCTTGTTTCAAGAACTATGTGTGATTTGTGGTTAATCCAGCATACTACATTAGTTGAAGGGTAAGTTTATTTGAACATCTTTTCTGTTTTACTTACTTCACTAATTTAGATAAATTTATAAAGTACTACTAGGTTCTGTTAACAGAGACATCGAAAACTAGACTATATTTTAGTTAACTTTGTTGATGTTTGAAGATACTTTATATGTTAGGGCATTTAAAAAAACTAATAAAATATAATTAAAATCATTTTTCGCAAGCATTAAGATGTTATTTTGAACATTAAGGCTTGCAACATTCATTTTCAATTTGTCATTGCAATGTTTTGCATTGAAATCGCAGGGGGTTTTTTAAATAAGCCATCAGGAAAGTCTTTAACTACTGGCAACTTAATGCCCAGCTATGCCGAGGTTTTTTGCTGTATTTTAAATTATTAAATCTTTGAACAATAATTGTTGACGATTTCTCATGTTAAAATTTATATGGTAAATTAATTATACTTTTGTTCCATTGTGAAAAAAATATTACCATGGTAGTAATATTCCAATGTGAAACAGCTGTACAAAAACCAACCACTTTAACATATAATAATAAATAAAAATATAATCAGCCCTCAACCAATTTAAAAAAGATATATAAACATTTTTTTGGGCAGAGTTTTTAGTGATGGAATCCCATGATTCCGAAAAAAGTTGAGAACTCATAATTTCAACATTTTTAAGACAATTTTAAACTTTTTTATTGACATTACATTTATACTTTATTTGAGTTTACATGAACTTTGAACTTATGAGATGATTTTCATACTTGCAATGAGACATACAAGAAATAATAGTTTTTTTTATCAACACAAATTAATTACTTTCAACTGTGTAATAGGTAACCAAAGGATTTTAAAATGTAGATGTTAGAAAGTTCACCTATTGTATGCATACAGGGTCACAATAGTTTACATGTATAATTTATACAAATTGAATTAATATTGATAGCATTGAACTTTTTGTAGCAGTTAATTTGTATATTACTCTTCACAAAAGTGTATGTTATTAAATTATTGGTATATAATTATAATATCTAGTATAGAGTCAGTAGATAGTAATTCTACATCAAATCTTAATAGTTGCAAAAGAAAAGATTAGCTTTCTAATTTTACTCTTATGCTCCTCCAGAAAAGAATTTGAATCAATTGGAAAATCTCACAATGTATACAAATACAAAATATACAATCTTATCTTACTAATATTATAAATGTGAATGTTTAGATGAATGCATGGATGTATGTATCTGCAGCACTATTAAATGGATCTCGATGAAATTTGGTATACATATAGAACATACTTTGGAAGAAGACATAGGCTACAATTTTTTTTTATCCCGTACGGACAGATTTTATAGTTTGTTAACGAATCTGTAAAGTCAATAAAAAAGGTTGATTAGTAACAATACAGTACCTATAATGTCTTTAATACATATTCAAATGTAAATAACAAAAGCGGACTCTGTTGTAACTATTCACATTGGTAACTTGTGTCATATAATAATTTACTTGATGTTTAATTAATAATCAAGTAACTTCTATTTGTATTTTATATACAGAACTATTCTTTATTCACTACTTTTGGATGAAACTTGGATTATCATCAGATATTTTATAGAACACTATTTTATTCAATATTTGAACCGAATAAGCAATTGAATTTTGACTCTGTAATTTTTTTTATGAATTACGTCATTTGTTTGTGTATAAATTTCCACTAAAAGATTTAAGTTTAATTTCGGCAAATGCAGTAGAATATGTAAATTACATTATTGATTTTTACTTCAAGGTGATGCCAGTTTTAAATGCATTTGTTTGGTGAATGTATAAAGTATTGGAAATGTTTTAATTCCGTGGCTTTTAGTTAAACAACATGACTCACAATTTAGTTTTCATGTTTGCAACAATAAAGCACACGATATACGTATTGGCCAATGTAAAAATTCTTTTATGTTTCAAATTATATATTATCCATGATATATATTTATACAACATATTTATACTCATATAAAGTTTGGATGTATGGATGTTTGTTACAAAGTATTTCCAAAACGATTCAATAAATCTCGATAACGTTTGGCATAGATGTAGGAAAGTCTGGACAAACATATAGGCCACCTATTCAATACGGCACGGACAAAGTTGTGAGCGACAGCTGATTCTTAAATAAATCCCTTGTGAAGCGAAATGGATAACAAAAATTAAGATTATATTTTGCGTGAAAGTTTAAAATTCTTGTATGCCTTATTAATATGTTCCAAAGATGTTTATTTACGCTTTTTAGTTTTGATTTCCGCGATAGACCGGTTCTCATTAATTAAAGCACACTATTTGCCGGCGGTTGAGGCTATCCTCAAGGCCTGTTAGTTTTTAAATATACAATGCTTGAATATTCCAGTTTATAATATTGTTCAAATTTTTTTGTTTAAAGTTATAACCGTGATATTTGTCAAACGATAGCATTTATTTAATCATTGTCTTAATACATTTGATTTTCTTTTGTCTTTTTTGTATAACACCTTTTTTTTTGTAAATGAATGATAATATTTAAAATTATGCATTGAAATACGTGTTTGGTTATTTAATTAAATTTGGTCATTGTACAAAAATTTCGTTCGAAAAAATACTTCCGTTTCTCAAGTTGTAATGTCCGGATTATACCTTTATAAGATGTTTGGTACGAATGTAATATTGTAAGGTCAATCCTTTCGAATTCCTGTACGTACTATAATAATTTTTACGACACTTTAAATTTTTTTTAAGCAGCATTTACTGATGATGGTTTTGTATATATAGACTTTAATTTCACAGTGGTTAATCTTTTAATGAAAATATTTTATATTTAACTAGCTGTCGCCCCCCGAATTCGTCCGAGCGATATTAGAAAACAGTATATGTGGTCTTCCAGGCTATGTTTTACATTAATGCAAAATTTCATCGAGAAACATCCATCCATCCGTTCAAACATTCGAATTTATAATATTAGTAAGATATAAGATATAAATCGTAAGTCAAAATCGCTCGTTCACAACACGTTAATGTCAATGACCATGATAAAATATTTTAAGTTATTGCTATGAATATACAATAGAAATTAATTTTAAATTCAGGTTATGTTTAATAAATAAAAAATGTAATATTTTAGTCCGTGCGAATTTAAAAAAAAACAATAATAAGAATTTAATGTAAAATACATATTCTACTAATTACGTTTTTTTTAATTCCTCGCGGATGAAATCGCAGGAGAAATCTAGTGTATAATAATGATTATATGTAATTCTGTATATTTTAATAGGTTTCTGACGTGAATTTTCATTAAAAAAGCTATATCTATTTGCAGGTCCATCATCACAATGAATCATAAAGAGTTCAGGCGACTTATAGGACAAGTTTTCCTAGCTATGCCACTGGTAAGATATATTCGAGTATAAAATGTATATAAAAACGTCAATGTCTCAGGGGTATTGTAATCTAGTCACACTAGCATAACTTATGGGAGGTCCGACATAGGCGTAACCACCTAATGATTTAGACTAGGTCTCATTTGCCCCTTCCTTCCCCCTAGCGATGCCCATGGGCTCCGAGCTCATTGTTCGGGACTTATTTAAAACATATGTATTCTTTATGTACGTATTTATATTAAGAAGTTGTCAGATTTTCATTGTGTTAGGTGCAGACATACATTTCTATTCAAGTTTAATTACTGCATTATGTATTTTATATATATTTGATGTTTTACGAGTATATAGTTATTAGCTAAATGCCTGTTTCATTATAATGTTAGTGTTTTATTATCGCGTGGTCAAAGGTTATTTTATAGGAAGCAATTCTCGTCTTTCAAATCATATTTATTAATTGCTCTGGACTAAATATTACTAATAAATGTGAAAGTTTGATTGGATGGATGTTTGATTGTTAGAAGAAATCTCCGGAACGCCTCAACGAAACTTTATTTAAATTTTGCACAGATGTAGATCATAGTCCCGAACAGCACATAGGCTTCTTAATTTTTTTTTTATTCTGTGCGGACTGAGTCGCGGGTGACAGCACTAGCTGTAACAAACCTAAGGATTTTCAAATTCATCCACTAATTTTCGCTTTGATTTATTTGCACATTTTTTTTTGTTTTATGTTATGGTAACATGTTGATAACAATTTAATTATTTTTCAGATATCTGTGGTGAATAATGTTCTAAAATGGAGTATAGGTGAAACTAAATTAAGGCTTAGGACAAATCTTACATTACATTTATATCAAAAATATCTCAAGTGAGTAAACCTTTGTTTTTAAATTAAAAACAATCACAAAACACGTTGATACTGTATTATGTATATTAAAAAAATGTCCATACCAACATTACAACAATGAAAACAGTTACCATTGTATCGAATGACTTATGTAGGAAAGAGAAGAATGTATAAAACAAAGAGGGACAGATCTTTATCAGCTAGTTTTTAAATTAGCCAAAACAGGTTGGCTTCTATTCTTAGTATTGTACATTTTCGACAATAGTTGAATTATGTTTTGTTTTTATTTCATTCTTTACGTAATACTTTAAAAAAAAAACAATGTTTTAGTTCCCCGTTCGTAAAATTAACTAACAAACTGTTAATATTGTTTAATCATATTCTAGTAGTAAACGAAGCCAATGTTTATCTACATATTATATCGGGTGATGTGTAGAAATTGTACTTTGGCATTTATCATGAAGGTCGTTGCGTCAATCGATATACGTAATCATACCTCTACAAACCTACGAGAAACGGAACACCATGTATACGATATATTTACGTTATAAAATTATATTTACGTTATGAATTCCTAAGCATTTGTTGTGTAGATATATTTTCTTTAATATCTAGAGATATATAGCGATATCGTTATCTAAATCTATGGATTTGTAAGTTGGTATAATTGTGCATTGTTAACGATGGATGACAAAGCATATCGAGAATATTGAAATTTAAAACAAATTCATATTTAACTATTATATTGTTACGACAAAAAAAGTTTTCTAAGATTGACTTCAAATAGCAAGGAAATACAAATTAAATATTACGTTAGGATCATGCGCGTGCTGTGTGGTGCTGCATGCTTTTGACATAAGAAATACTTGTTACGAATAAGTATAAAATTTCCACGTTTGAAATGTTAAGCTAGGAAAAAAAACTACTTAAATATTTAAAATTTAATATGAACAACATTGTAATCTTCAATGTTAATATTTGCTTATTACTATAATAATTATAATAAATATAAGTAATACGAAGACTTTGACCTCGCTTATTAAAGAAATTGCGCCAAACTATGTCCTTGAAATTAGAGACGTTACTGGTTTACGAGAAATTTATGTGAGAAAAAAGTGGAAAAGTCGTTCGAAAATTTAAAAAAAACCTTGTGATTTATGGTTGAATTTCGACCAATGGACGGCTAGTAATTGTCGAAACTTGTACGCACTTAACGGAAGGGGAAAAAGATTCCTCGCAATTGACATTCTATGACATCACAACAGTTGATGGTGCGTTGTTTGTGGCCTATATCAAAATCTTACTAATATTATAAATGCAAATGTTTGGATGGATGGTTTCTTTGAAGGCATCTCCAAAACTTCATGGATCTCGCTCAAATTTGACATGGATGTGTAACATAATCCGCAAGAAAACGTTTAAGTTTTTTTTTTAATTCCGCGCGAACGAAGTAGTAGGCGAAAGCTCGTATGTGTATAAATCAATACATTTTAATTTATAATTTGCATAACCCGCATAATATTGTGACGTCATAGCTCTTAAATAATAAATTATGCAGTGACAGTTCGTTTCTTGTGTAAGGTTCTTATAAAGACAATGATTGTATAGTTCTTTGTTAATAAGTAATATATCCATATAACTATTAGCTAATGAACAGTTAACACGTGTTACCTTCGCAATTATCTATAAGAATGTATATGACCACTTAGTATTCAGTAATTGATTTTAAAATGATGTATCAAGTTATTATTTGCGCCTCTAAGTATCAAATCAAAGTTGTTTTTATATACAAATATTAAATAAAAGTATTAAAACATGTAGATACATAATCTCAATGTAAGAACTATGAATCTTAATCCATTTAATCTTAACACAGCGTCTTGTAATAGATTAACGAGCTATAATTTTTGTTTGTCTATACTTGTTTATAAGCTGAAATACAAACATCATCATCAGCTCACTATACGTCCCAACCGAGGGGCTCGGAGCCTACCCTAAATTAAGGGTGATTAGGCCATAGTTAACCACGCTGGCTAAGTGCGGGTTGATTGACTTCACACATATCTTTGAACCCGCTCTCAGACATGTGCAGGTTGCATCACGATGTTTTCCTTCACCGTAAGAAATACAAACATATCTCACGCATTTTCTTTTAAAAAAATATGATTTTGTACACTAAAGGCCACAGAAATCTTAGTGATATTAATCTTAGTACTTCTTACTAATTATAAATGTGAATGGTTAGATGGATGGATGGATGTTTGTTTGAAGATATCTCTAGAACGGCTGAACAGATCGTGATCAAATTTGGCATATATATAAAACATATTCTGGAAGAACACATAGGCTACTATTTTTTTTTATTTCTGCGCGGATGGAGTCGCGAGGATGTATAACGAAAAAACATCTCCGAATGGGTTATTATTTTTGTTATTAAATCTATTCCAGAGGTTTCACTTACTATCAAGTCACAAATTTGGACAATCGGATATCGAACGCGGATCAGTTATTAACCACCGATATTGATAAGTTCTGTGACACAGTTATTGATCTGTACAGTAACATAAGCAAGCCTCTTTTGGACATTGGACTTTACCTGTACAGATTAACAGTAAACTTAGGCCCATCGGTGAGTAACATGTTAAATCTATATATATAAAAATCAATTGCTGTACGTTAATCTCGCTAAAACATGAGAACGGTTCAACGGATTTATCTTACCTTGGTCTTGAAATGTTCGTGGAGGTCTAGGGAAGGTTTAAAAGTTGAGAAATATGGGAAATAATTGCCGGGAACTAATTAGGTTTTTTTTTCATTTCACGCGGAAGGAGTCGCGGGCGACAGCTAGTATTAATATAGATTTTATCCTGTTTATATGTTACCGAGCATTTGACCTTCGTTGATTTGTTTATCCAACTAGGTATATTAAAAACTGCCAGGAAGCTTGTTATAAAATAATCTTACTAATATTATAAATGCGAATGTTTAGTTGTTTGATTGTATCTCTACAACGGCTGGACGGATCTCGATGGAATTTGGCATAGATGTAGAACATAGTCTGGAAGAACACATAGAATACTAATTAAGTTTTTTTTTAATTCCACGCGGGTGGAATGTCGGCCGATTGTTAGTACAACAATACAAATAAACTTGTCCTTTCGAATCTCATTATTTTTATCAGGCAATTTTTTTTTTCAATTTAAAAATATGCATTTTTTTGTTTTTAGACACCCGGTATAATGATGGCATATCTATTCGTGTCTGGAATATTTTTGACATATCTAAGACGACCTACGGGTAAGTTTTTTTTTGTTATTTAAAAATATAAACGTAAAATTTCTTTTTTTTAGTTATCTAAAGCATAAAACACATCATAAAACCTTATGTTATTACGAAATTTTCACGTTATTTTTATTAGCTTTCTGATTACGTTGGTCTGTGTAAAGATTTTTTTTATTCTTTATTTTGATGCCTAATACATTTCCATTGTAATATTTAACATTGAAATAGGGAAATAAAAAAAGCACGTGGATTTTAAAAATAAAATACAGATTAAAAATATATTGTTCTTTGTATTTGAAGTGAATCGAGATGAGAAAAAAAATATTGACCTTCTGTTCTTCCTCTTTTCTTTATGTCTTTGATGATTTTTTATTTAATTATAAATGTTTATTATTGTAAAAAAAATTGCATTGTCTCTTAAGTGTCATGTATTTTTTAATACTAGCTCGTATGACGGTTCAAGAGCAAAAACTTGAAGGTGAATTCAGATACGTCAATTCGAGGCTTATCACCAATTCAGAGGAGATTGCTTTTTACCAAGTAAGTAAAATAGTTAACTTAATTTCAATCTAACTTTGCTTTTTTTTTAATAAGGCAAGGCGGCAAATGAGCGGCGGAAATTGGGATACTTCATTGTAGTAATTTTCTTTTAATTCCCAAGTCAAGAGTTTAATAATTTGATTAATATATTCTATACATCTCTGAATATTTTTTAATTCCCAAGTCAAGAGTTTAATAATTTGATTAATATATTCTATACATCTCTGAATATTTTTTAATCTATATTGAATATAATTGCTAATGCCAATGACACTCTTAGCTTAATGACTAGTATACTTCTTTTCAAATATATTGGTTGCTCAAGGTCTTCTGAACGATGCGACAACGCAATAGTGTTTTGCGCAGCCCACGATGCGGAGCCGCCAAGATATTTGACAAGGTAAAATACTAAATGTAAGTAATGCTGTTCCAGGGCAACAACCGCGAGAAGCTGACGCTGCTGGCCAGCTTCTACAAGCTGACGCGGCATCTGCGCAACTTCCTCAACTTCCGAGTCGCCATGGGCTTTGTCGACAACATCATCGCCAAATGTTTGTACATATACAATAACCACAGATAATATTATATTTATTATATATACCTAATTCTCTATACAACGTATTATGGGTTCCGTGTCTATGGTTATTTTTATTCCGCACACAAGTTAGATGGTGATTTTTTTGGCGAATTGTTTTATGATTTTTTTTCTCTTTTTTCAGATGTGGCAATAATAGTCGGATTCTATGCAGTTTCTCGTCCCTTCTTCGTCAAGGATCACAACTTACTCACAACCAGCACTGAAAATGATCGATTTAAGGTATTATTTAGTTGTTAAATGTGGTCTTACTTTCATGTGGACTTCACTTTCGGGTTCCAGTGTAAAATAGGTGGCATATAAAATCAAAGGCAGGCAAGCGAATTTATGTTTAGTTGGAGGCGATTTAGTGTTTTCATGTTACTAATAAATGCAGCTAAATTTGAAGCAAATTCAATTCAAAAATTTTACCAGCATCAAAGCGGATAGCTAACTTTTTTGTATTCATAAGATGGCAAACGAGCAAGCGGCTAACTTAAAACGCTGGAATAGCGACCGTTGCCAATAGACAAACGCAATTACATATGCCTTTAATCGATGGACGTAGAAAGAAAATATTTTTTCTTCCCATGTATCCTCCATCTGGGAAGTGGAAATCCACTTCCACTTCCCAACTTTTCCTTGTAATGAAAATGGAAGGAAAGAGGACTAATCTTAGGCCTCCGGAACGTACATTTAGACTGCGACGCGATATTGTTTCCAGTAGACGCGTGTCTGCGGACTCTCCCGCTGTGAAATCTGGACATAGGTAATAGTATTTGAGAGAGTGATGCAATATTCCAGCACTACTACACGTACGGGCGCATGCTGGTGAAGATGGCGGAGGGCATCGGGCGGCTGGTGCTGTCGGGGCGCGAGCTGAGCAAGCTGGCGGGGCTGACGGCGCGCGTCACGCAGCTGCACCAAGTGCTGGATGATGTCAACTCCGGCAACTACAAGCGCACCATGGTTGACAGGAACAACCATAATACTAACGGTTACTCTTATTATATTACTAGCTGTCGTCTGCGAGTCCAAAACATATGTGTTCTTCCAGACTATCATCTATATGTATGCCAAATTTTATCAAAATTCGTTCAGCTGTTCTTGACATAAGATACCTTCAACTTTCTACAAACAAACATCTTTTCTTTTATAATTTTTTAACACTAATACGTTTGGATATAAGTCTTTGGCATTATAACCAGGTACTATATTAATAAAAAAGAATGTTGACAGACAGACAGACGGACAACAAAGTGATCTTATAAGGGTTCCGTGTTTTTTCCCTTCAAGGTACGGAACCCTAAAAATATGTTTTTTGATTTATTTAACGTGTTTTTTAAATATTTCGGTTGCATATTGCAGAGGGTGGTCCGCTGTCGCTGGTGCCTGGTGCGGGGCGCATCATCTACAAGGACAAGATCATCCGCTTTGACAAGGTGCCGCTCGTCACACCCAACGGTGACGTACTCATCAGAGAACTTACATTTGAAGTGCGGTAAGTTTACACCTCCTGCTCACCTCCTGATAGCGGTAGCGTGATGTTATACCTCCTGTAACCTTCTGTATTTATTACGCTGTTATATGTTAGAAGAAGTTTTTCAAATACTATTTACTTATTGAGAATAATGTGGTCAAAGAAATTATCTTTTATGTTTTATTAACTTAGTGAAATATAGGTATAAAATCATTGTACTGCATTTGTAAAAATCTTATAATAAAATTAATTTACAGATTTGATTATTTGTATGTACCAGACTAAAAAGATAAAACGCAGACTAAGTCCTTAAACAATATCAACCAATAGAAAAGTCTTCTGATAAAGAATTACTTAGACTTTTCCTATATTTATCTATTTACCCAAGCGAAACCGCGGTCGACTATTAGTATACAATGCATTATGTAGTATACTATGCAGTATTAGTATACAATCGAAAACTGGCCAAGCGAGATTCATTGTCGCGACGTGGTACTCCATTAGCGAGAAAATATCCCTAACCCTAGTACTCTCGCTTATGTAGGTAATGTTTGTATGTTTGTCTGTAGATCTGGTATGAACGTGTTGGTGTGCGGACCCAACGGATGCGGCAAGTCCTCCATGTTCCGTCTGCTGGGAGAGTTGTGGCCGATATTCGGGGGCACTCTCACCAAGCCTCCGCGCGGCAATCTCTTCTATGTCCCGCAGAGACCTTACATGACGCTCGGCACACTACGCGATCAGGTACCTATATTATTTTTAGTTCACAATGCGCACTATTTTATTACCCATTGTAATAGTCAAAATAAATCTCTTTTCTTCTTCTTCGTATACTTCATTACTGAAGGTCGTGCTTGCCTTGATATGCTATTACGACTGTGTCGACCAGCTGCCTCCACGCCGTCTGTCTTCGTCTATACAGAAAATATTTTCTGTAAAAATAGGTAGAAAGTGCCAAAAGAAATAAGTAATATAACTCGATTTGATATTACCTTAACGCCCCCTGTACTTATTGCAGCGAATCAAAACTTAAGAAATATATGACAATCTAAAAAGTCACATTTCAAAATTTACTATGTTAATTCAAAAGACCTATGTATTTTATTTTAAATTGATGACTACTTTTGCACTGATATCATCTGTTTGATGGGAATAATTTTAGTTTAGAGAATGTCAGAATGACCGCGTTATTACTAAACACACTAATCGTTGCTTTCTGAGACTAAAATCCCACAGACCAAAATACTTATAAAATATATAGCTTTCTCTGTTTTGCCAATGATAATGAGGAGGATGACGATATGTTTTATACATGAATTTTGGTGTCAGAAACCAACCATAACCCGTGTTCTCCCCCAGGTGATCTACCCGCAAAGTCGCGAGGAGATGTTGCGGCGAAAGAGGTCTGACAGCGAGCTGGCGCGCTTCCTGCAGCTGGTGCAGCTGGCGTATCTCGCTGACAGAGAGGGAGGCTGGGACGCTGTCGAGGACTGGATGGATGTTCTCTCCGGCGGCGAGAAGCAGAGGATAGCTGTTAGTAACACTTTTTAGCTAAGTTTGATTGTGATTGTAGCTTAAAAACTGAACCAATTTTGAAATTAAATGTCATTTAATTCGATCACATATTTTGTGTCGTAGAAATACAGTCGATGGAGTTTTTTGGGTTTTAAATAACAAATACAGTCGCACCTGGTTAGGCGAGACATTTTCTTCTCGCTTACTACAGTACAGTTATTTATCGGACAATGTCGACAAACGATCGTGGGCCTAATATCGCTGAAATAGCGAATTTACCATCATAGTTTAACATATAGGGAAGTTAAAATATTTATTGTGTGCAGATGGCGCGTCTGTTCTACCACGAGCCGCAGTTCGCGATACTGGACGAGTGCACGAGCGCCGTCTCTGTCGACGTAGAAGGACAAATGTACCAGTACTGCAGAGAGGTAACAAATACACACTGAAAAATATAAATATATATGACTAGTTGTTGCCGTCGACTCCGTCCGCGCGGAATTAAAAAAACTTAATAAGTAGCCCATGTGTTCTTCCAGATTATTTTCTACATCTATGGAAAATTTCATACAGATTCATTCAGCCGTTCTGGAGATACTTTCTAACAAACATCCATCCATCCATGTAAACATTCGCATTTATGTTAGTAACATTGTACGAAATACATACTAAATGTATGGATATCGTACGTAGATACCCAAAAATATTATCATAATTCATCTTTATATGCTTTAATAATAAACATTTATATAATTAAGATCAATTTTCTAATTTTCATTTGCAAATATATTTTTGATGTATAAATGTGTCAAATATCGATTTTATTTCTAGATGGGAATATCATTGTTCACGGTGTCGCATCGTAAATCGTTATGGCAACATCACGACCACTACCTGCGCATGGACGGCCGCGGCGGCTACGAGTTCGCCGCCATCGACAAAGACACGCAGGAATTCGGCTCCTGATCGACGCACGCGCATCTCACCGCGCACACTACCGCCATCTCTCAACACCTGTAAAACAACTGCGAGTTGAATATATTACTATAAGTTCCTTCTTTTTATAAGAAAATCTGGCGATTTTTTTTTAATAATTTAGTAAATATTGTTGTTTATAAATCGAATATAAATCTTTTGAGGGTAAAGTTTTTTGTGGGAACTTAAAAAATTGTACACTCAAGTCTTAGGGGGAGTTTGTCGCCCCTTCCTTAAGATATACGGTAAAATACTTAGTAAATTTATCATTTTGTAAAGTATCGTATATATAAAATTCTCGTATCACAATTTTCCTTCCCATAGCGAAACGGCTTGACCGATTCTCATGAAATTTTGTGAGCATATTGAGTTGCTCTGAGAATCAGCTAACATCTATTATTAGTAATTAATTCTGCTAATGCAAGCTGACATAAAAGGGACAAAAGGTAACATGACATAGTTCTTATAAATCATTACATAATCACCTCAGACCACAATCTCAGACAAGTAACGACACGTATTTTAAGAACGACCACAATTTTAATAAACTACATAAAAAATGTACAAAATTGTGTTGTACGTTAGCTAAATAGTTTACAAGCAACTCATTTAAACTATATTATGTATTAAAATACATAAAACCTAAATATTTAATATGTGTAATTAATTATTTCATTAGTAAAATACACATTTACACCAATTGTTCGTGTTGTTGTAAATGTGTAATCGGCGTTGACTAGAAACAATTCAAACTGTTAACTATCAGTTTTCATTTTGTTTTTTAAGTTTTACAGTGGAATACCACAACCGTGACCTCACACGGATATATAGATTGAGTACTTTACATATTATGTATTTACTGTCATAAATTAAATGTAATAAACCAGGGGTGACCAACTGATTAGACTAAAGATCTACTGTTTATTCAGGAAACACCATGTTATAGTGTGTATAGTATATATTGGTACATTCTATAGTATTTTTCTTTATTAAAATGGAAAACAAAACTGATTGTTAGTTTGGTTTTCTTAACTTAACTACTTATATATTATATATATCAGTGTGAATATTGCGTTTGAGCATTATCCGCTATGTTATGTAGTATTCGACTAATAGTTCTGATAGACCCGTTGGTCACCCCTGTAAAATGTCAAATGTCTGTTGACTCAATTATTAAAAAAGGAACACGATATCTTTGCTAGTTATTCTGTTTATTCTTTCACTAGTCATATTACAAACAGAAATATTAATATACTATAAAAATAAATGCCGTGGACAGAACTAAAAGGGACCAGAAAATATAAAATACACTCGATTTCTATTTTTAATTTAACAAATTAAAATAATTAAAACAATTAACATAAATATAAATAAAATATACTTTAATAAATTGCCTACATATGTAAATACACATCCAATTCATTATATATCTTCATTTAAATATCGACTTTTATTATTATGTAAATAATTTATTAGAAAAAAAAATAACCTCCAATTTTCATAATATATTATTTACAAAAAATTATGTAAAGTAAAACTATTAATTACTTTTTGATATTCGGAAATTATGTCATAATATTGGAATCATATTTTTATTTATTAAAATAATACAGGATTCTTTGTTAATTTTATAATTCAGTCGTGTAAAAATGAATAGTCGACATACAAATTGCTGTCAAGTGGTGCAACCATAACTTTAGTGCTATATGTTTTGATATGATTTTTGTGATATTTCTACAATAATCGTTGATAACTTCATGATATAATTGTGAAGGTTAATTGAATAGTTTATATTTTGTTGAAATATTACATAATATACAATTTCTAAATAATTACATATGTATAATGTTTATCAAGTCACACAGTGTACCCACACTCGGCCAGCATGGTTGACTATGGCCTAGTTACCACTAACTTAGGGTAAGCTCCGAGCCTACAGCCTCACTGGGGATGTATAGTGAGCTGATGATGAGACAGTGTAATAAATGTAATATTTTTTTATATATCCTGTGTACTTTGCTTATTTTGTTATATTTATATTCAACATTAAAAAAATTGTTGTGCAATGAAATAAATTTCATTTTATAAATTTACTTTCTTACATCACATAGATTTAATTATGTGTATATGTTTCTTTTAATGAAAATACTATAATATATTGTAAAAATCGCTGTGATAGCTGTTTTGTTGTTTTAAATAAATGGTGGGTGCTGGGTCACAAAGAAGGTTGAGGATAACGTGTGATTATTATACTAAAACTTTTAATCATTATATCAATTATGGTATACATTTAACATGATTTTTATTTACAAATCAGTGCATAAAATAAACCCATTGAAAGAAAACATATTTCCAGCCAACTAGAAATTTCTATTAATAATATTATAAAGAAGAAAGATATGATTGCATTGAATAGGCTTCAAAACTACTGAACCGATTTGAAAAAATCTTTTATGTTGGGATGCTGCACTATCCCCGAGTGACATATTTAATACTAGACTTTGTTTTAATTCTGCGCAGACGAAGTCGCCAGCAACTGCTAGTTTTTACATATAACGGAATAAAGCATTTTAACAGTAGTACACAAATTTATTAGCTGCAATGTTATGTCCAATGTCTTACTTTTTCTCCTTAAAAGTTCTTAAAATATAAAAGCTTTTTCTTAATGTTCTTAAACCAAGCAATATTCTACTCGTGCACCATTGGGAGTAACAATTCATAATTAAGACATGTTTTACGTAAAATTTTCAATATACTTTCACATTAAAATTGTGTAAAATATATATTTTATTTACATAGATTTTCGATGCCACGCCCTGAAAATATATTATTACATTTATCCGCCATTGTTAATACCAGAACGGAATTTTATACCTACCTAACACTTTACATGACATTCGATTAAAATTTTAAATTTCCCACGCCCATCGGGTTTAAGCGTCATATGACGTCAAATGCAAATGACGTTTGCAGCCCGTTATACGTAAACTTTATATCCAGTTTTCGAAATATGAAATTGAATTTCATTCTGTTTTAACAAATATTCCACCTATAAATATATGAAACACTTCATTTTACTCTTAACGCCAACAAATACATATGACGGACTTTGTACTAACAAGGGACGCGCCTAAAATCATTAATTACATTTAAATAACGGAGCACACAAAGAGCATCGCTTCGCATCAGCTGTTAAAGAAAAAAAAATAACGGGACATCGGCGATAGAGATTGGTCACACCGACGGCCACATCAAATCTGGGGGTCTAGCGTGTGACCCTGTTATTTCTATACTGCAATAAAGTAGCTGTGTAATATTAGATAAGTTGTGTATCGTTGTTATATTAATATACGAAAATTTTAGTGTAATATATGTGCAAAATATGGAACGTGCGACTGGAACAGAAGTGTACGGGTGTGGCTCGCCCCATTCTACAGACATCACGCTAAATATACAGACTACAACTGGTGGTAATTTCTCCGTCAGCTTGAACGGTAAAAATACAGTGGAGCACCTTAAAAAGTTGGTTTCCAAGAAGTTAAAAGTGTCAAAGGACCGAATATGTCTTCTGCATCGCGAAAGGTAAGTGTAGCGTCGGACGCCAAACTTCTATTGTTAAACATAGGTATCACGGAAATAAGTTGCGTCGATACGATGACGCATCCGCGTCCTTTGACTGTTGTTGATAAGTTGTTCTGTGTTGGCAGACAACTCCAGGACGGCACTCTGGACGAGAACGGCTTGCTGGACGGCTCGCGCGTCATCCTACTGCCCAGCGTAGAGACAGGCCTGCTGGTGAGCACGTCACCTTATGTCGACACATCAATCTAATTCACCACAATAATCACGTGTTTCACAACACAATCACTTCACTACAATTCATTATTCATTACCATAATTCACTAAAACACATTATGCTATTCATGTATGCAAATGTTGTAGGGTATCTTTATCATAATTTTCGATTGTTCACAGAGTCAGAGGCCTGAAAACTCTGTGATGCAAGCTTTAGAATCACTTAATGACACACAAGTAAATGACTTTTTAAGTGGTAAATCACCATTAAATCTGACAATGAGACTTGGTGATCACATGATGCTGATACAGCTGCAGTTGTCCACACTGAACTCTTCAGGCAGTTCCAAATCCCTAAGGACATCAACACCTGCAAAAGCATCTAGCTCAACAAGTACAAAATGTGATCATACAGAATCTTCAAGTTCTCAGAGCACTTCTCAGAAAACTTCAAAGAATGAGGAGACACCAGATAGTGATAAAGTTAAACATGAAACAACTACTCCAATATTACAGAAACAAGATTTGGAAATGTTACAAAATGCTTTCCAGTTGTATCGTACAATGGCTGAAGAAAAATATGCAAATAAAACTGAAACAGACAAAGAAGATGTTGATGCTTCTAATTGTACAATGTCAGATCTATCAGATACATCTTTAGAAAATGAACAGTCACCTATTAAGTCTCTTTCTAATTTAGTGTCTAGTCCTATGGATGCATCAGTTTCTGAGAGTAGGGAAACAACTATTGCAAATTCAGTTAAGAGTAGTTTAATAGATCTTTTATCAAATAAACTTCCTAATGATGTGACACCATCAACAAGTGCTGTGTGTGACAAAACATACTCCTCCACGGCATCCCTTACACCAGAGAGCTCACTCAGTGATGACAGCGACAATTTCACAGACCAAAGTTCATTTCTAGCAGAAAGCACCATAGACGAATATCCAATGGAGAATTTATTTAACAGTGCAATAGACAAAGGCTTGTTTGAGGAACAAGATGAATCTATGATGGACAGGGAGATTTCAAATTTGGCTACAACCAGTCATGGAAGTCAAGAGTCTCCAAATGGGTCTTTACCTTCTTTCCAAAGCTTAAATGAGCCTTTAAAAAATAAACGCTTCCAATATCTTCTACATAAAACATCAAAGTTTAAGCGTCCCATTGGACAGAACAAACAGAAAGCATTTATGCAATCTGTGGTTAACAAGCACAAAAAACGGATGCAAATGCGACAAGAAACTCAACCACAACCATCTACCTCCAGAACTGAGCCTTATGTAGGAAGTGTCAAGAAACCTTTACCTTTAAGTACCGTCATTGCCGAGGACAATGCTGTACCGTCTACATCAAAAGCCTCTTTCAAGGCTCCGGATGCACCTAAAAAGGCACAAAGAGCCTCTCCCACTCCACCAGTTGACACAAAGGCTCTTATAGAGGCTTCAAAGAACCTAACACAGAAACTGAAAAGGTTATCAAAAGAGGTTTTGACAAATAAGCTTGATCTCAGAATGGCGGAGGAGACAGTGCGCTCCAAGATTGGTCCCGGTGCTGTGATTGAGTCAATGAAACATCATGGTAAAGGAATATATTCGGGAACATTCTCAGGAACACTCAACCCTGCTTTGCAAGACAGGTGAGACCTTAACATTATTACTTGTTTTACTGTTACCTTTAGTTCCGTCTTGTGATATCTTACTTCTTACCAATCTTACCAATAATATAAATGCGAATGTTTAGATGGATGTTTGTTTGAAGGTATATCCAAAATGGCGAAACAAATCTCAATGAAATTTGGCATACTTATAGAACATAGTCTGGAAGAACAATAGGCCAGTAACTATGTTTTTTTATTGCCATGCGGACAGAGTCGCGGGCGACAGCTAGTATTTACATAAAAACATGGTGTTTTTTTTTTCAAAGAAAAATTTGCTCATTGCAAAGCAGTCCTTGTTAACATTTTACATTGAATGTGTACAATTCTTAACAGATATTGACACATTATAAAAAGTTTTTTCTAAGCAATTATTCCATACAAATGCTATTATTTTAATAAATGTCATAGCATAAATAAAATTCATCAAACTTGCACAATAGTGTGAATAAATTTTAATTTCATGAAAATTTTCATAAATCTTTTAAGGTCAATGCAAACAATATGTCAAGATTGTAATTACACAATCATTATTACACAGCAAAATTTACATATTCATTGCAAAAATAGGCCTCTTTGTTTAGAGAAAGTCAGTTTATTGATTTTGGTAAAACATTATTTCCTTAATGCATTATTAAATAAATTCATACAATTTTTTTTCTAATACTAATTAATACGTGAAACATTCAGTAATTTTCGTCATAAATTAAGATTTTTGATTGACGTTAACATGAAAGTTAACACCTTTCTTGCCGCTATAATCCTCATGAAAGTGACCTTGCCAGACAAGTTGGCAGCAGTGTATGTGTTAACATACTTTTTAAAATACAACTTAGATTATAAAAATGCTTACTAAGTAGATACATGTTAAGACATGTATTAATCATGTTCATCACATTATGTTGACATAATTAAAAAGGTTCTGCTGATAAGTCACTTTATGTCACATTTACATGTTTCCATCTTACTAACATTAATGACTGTGTGAAAGAGGATATGTGTAGGAAGGGGGTAGATTCGGATATGACGGCTGATAGAGATGTATGGAGGAGTAGTACATTCTGTGCCGACCCCCAATAGGGATAAGGGCAGGTTGATGATGAATCTTACTAACATTATAAATGCATATGTAGATTAGTTAGGAGGTATCTCAAGGAAAGTCCCATAGCCATTTGACCATTGTCTAGAAGAACACATAGGTTACTTAGCTAATTTTTTTCCCTAGACAAAATAGTGGGCAAACCTATTATTACTAAAATGCCATGTGCCGGAAATGACGTAATGTCTTTCATTTCTTTACCATTGAAATACTGTAGTTGTATTCTATTTTAAAATATGAATGTCTTAAAACAACAAATCATGCTTACTCACAACTACCTATCAACAGGAACTAATTTACCATACTACAATTTCTATTATCTCTACTTAAGCTTTTATTTTGTGACAATTAATACAAGATTTAGAATATATTATTGTAATCAAAATAATTAAAAACCTAACATACTTATAGACTTCAAATTTAAAATCGTCAACCTTTTCTGACCTTGCGACACCTTTGTTAACCCTCATTTTGTATAGTATACTATACATACAACTTTATAAAAAGATACGATCACTATAAAATAATTTTTTACTTCGTTTTTTTTTTAACTTTGTTTTTTGCTTTTCTTCAAAAAAGAAATCTTGCCACAATAAGGGTTAAATGATTACTTGAGCAGTTTTGATTTAAGTTGCCCTAAATCTACACTAAGGCATTCCCTTTGTGACTGAGTCTGTGTGGTATTAAGTTAAAAACATCATACATGTAAATGCAAATGTTTCAATGTACTGGTGGATGTTCATTTTATCTTTAGAATGGCTTGGATCAGGCTGAATTTTAGTACAGGTTGAAATAACATATATAATAAAAAATATTTTTTTTAATTCCGCTCGAACCTAGTTTGTAATATGTTTGAAACATATATGCCCTACTATTGTATTTGCAAAATGTGTTCAGTAATTATCATCTAACAAGCTACGTCTATAATAGCAGTGTTTGTTTGTTTGTACAGCTTTTAATGGTGTAGCCACTATTTATTTAACCTATTTAATATATATGTAATAATTGTATATGCATAGATTTTTGACTATTAGTATACTAATATTATAAATGCGAATGTTTAGATGGACGGATATTTGTTTGAAGGTATCTCTGGAACGGCTCAATGGATGTTGATGAAATTTTGCACAGATGTAGAACATAGTCTGGACAAACACATAGGCTACTTATTATTTACTTAAATTCCGCACGGACGGAGTTGCGGGCAACAGTTAGTTCATAGATAAATGTTTAGGGTAGATGCTTAAAGAAATAAGGACAAAATACCAAACAAACATCTTACATATTATGATGGTTAATATATACATTAAAGTTAGTAATAGATTTTTTGTATATGTATTGTTTAGAATGTAAATAAGACTAAGTATAGTTTAAGTGTTATGTCTATTTAAATTAACTGGTAACATTTGTTTTCAGATATGGTCGTCCGAAGAGAGATATATCAACGATTATTCATATACTGAATGATTTACTGTGCGCCTCGCCGCCTATATCCACTCTTGCGCAGGTATTTTATAGTTTCTTTATATTGTAGATTAAATAGTTGCTACATTGATGCAACTGATAGTAGACCACTTTAAAAGGAATGATCTCATCATTTGTGTTTTATAGCTATTTAAACTTTGGATATTTGTTATGTAAATTATCACTTTAAACTGTATTCAAATGTAAATGTTTGTTCTATGATACTTATTTTGTTGCCGAATTGTTTATGAGTGAAATGTTACAGGCAATGCTTTATTTTACTCTATATAGGTTTTATTTCTGTACAAAACTAGTGTAAATTTAAAACTTGTTGCTGATAAAGTCTGTCTTTTTAGTTTAATTCTTATTTCCTATTAGATATGATAAGTATGCTTATAAAAGATATGCTTGGAATTAATATTTAAATACTTTAATGATACCGATGAAAAGTTTTGGAAACTGCATGATACATTTTTGAATAATATTTCAGAAAGAGTCAAAACACATCTGTTCACTGGGTGTGCCGGAGGAGAGCGGCAAGTGCGGCTGCAGCGGCGCGTGCTCGCTGGGCCAGTGCGAGGGGCACGCGGCCAAACCGTGCGCGTGCCCCCAGGCGTGCCAGTGTCCCCGGCGCGATCCCGCGTGCCCCACGTGCGCCACCGCCTCGCCGCCCGGACAGATGTGCAAGAAGTGTGACACCGCAAAGACACTCGCTATGGAAAACTCAAAGACTAAGTGTAAACTGGAGCAGCTGCGGCTGGTGATGCAGCAGAAGAAGCAGCGGCGTGAGGCGAGGAAGCTGAAGACGCTGCCGTACGCGGGCGCGCCCCCCAAGGCGCTAGGCTCACCCGACGCCGCGCCCCCCGGACCCCCCGCGCCACCCGTGCCCGAGGAGATCGAGACCGTCGCCTAGCTCGCACCCCCTGCACCCTCCGCCCTTACACCATGTGACGTCACTTTGTCCAATCGTTCAGCTATGCCGTGCTCTATAGATCGCTAAATTTCAGTTACCTTTATGTTTTGCTTCAATCTACTAAATCTATAATACGTCAGGTCTTTTATCTCACATATTTTACAATGATTATATTTAAAACAGTTCAACTAACATACATACAAACATTAAACATACATCTTTCCGTAACAGTATCCTAAATTCACCTGTGAACCCATAATAAACTATTGACCTATTTAGAACATAAAGTATACTGATAAAATTTAACTGCTGCCTAAAAGTTACCAATAGTATAAACGCATGGTATCAGTGGATAAAGAAATATTTTTAGTATTATAATTTAGTATAACAAGTTGGCGTTGCGTGTGACGAAACATTCTGTGGTGGATGTAATTCGTATTCAAAATTAGTACGGCTTGTGTTGAGTTCGGCAGACAGAGTTAAGAATCTAGCGGCACTATAATCTGCATGTACAAATAAAAATATATTAGCGAAATCCTTAGATATTAGTTTAATTGTAACTTGCAGTCGGTCATCTGATGTCGGTTGCCCGGTGTGGCTGAGTTTTGTTGTTATTTTTTAGATTATATTTAATTATATTAATTCAGTCAACATTTTTTTTATAATCTATGTATCAATATTCTTATCTCCGTTGAATATTTGGAATGTAATTCTCATCGGGTTCACTTTCTAAAGTTCTACAAAATTGACAGATTAAAAAAATGTAACATAGAGTATAAAACTGGTTTGCAATTTGACCATTAGCCTCGTGCTCGTGTTTATTATTAGTGATTAATTGGCACTGTTATTCTTAGTTATTTTGTCTTGTTTTTTTCTTCTTTTCTTTTTGAATTTGTTATTTAAAATAAATGTTTTCCTAACTTTACACGATTTATCAAGTCTTTTATTGTTTTGATAGAAAATAGATTGACACCATGATTTTTATATATTATCATTTGGATGTATTATTGTGTGTAGGCAGATACAAAATAAAAGTATATAATCTATATAAAAGTTTTCAAGGGGGTGGAAATCTTGAATAATATTTTATAAGATTTATGTACTAAATAATCGAATTAGAAATATTGACGAGAGGTTATGACAACGGCCTGTGCCAACTTATTCGATGGCTCTTTTTGGCTTCTAGATTAACGCATGATCGAATCAAAGTTCCTCCATAAATTTTTTCACAGTAAGCGTTGTAGAGTTTACTTTTCAGTTTTTCAAATGTTACCAACTCTCCAAAATTAATAGATCCGTGAACATATTTGCCTTATATTCAAAGTAATATCTATATTTAAAATATTTACTCATTTATTTCTATGTACTACTTGATTTAGCTTACACATAAATAATCTGTAAATAGTGATGTGAAATAGAGTTATAAAGATAAAAAGCTGACAATCTCTCGCTTATCAGAATTAGAAATCATAAAAAGGACCTATTTTTATAGAAATAAAATTAAAGTCAAAAATATGTTTAAAATATGCCGAAGCCTTCATATTTAACCTTCCTTGATGCTTTAAATTACTGCCAACTCAAAAAAAACAATAAATTTATGTCGAGGATTCTTATTGCTTTAGATATTTGAATGCAATGTCTTCCTAATTATAGTTTAAAATTAATTTGCATCGTTTATGTATTCCATGTTGGTAAGGGACCAAATAACAAGTGGCCGGTCGTAGGATTTCTATAAAACGTAGCAATAAAGTTACAGTCTACGGACGTGCAAGAAGTGCCTATCGATGTTTTAAAATTAAATGTTAGTATTGTGCCATGTCTGTCCTTTGGTCTGTGGCGCGTTTTTTTTTTGTTTATATTGTTAGATCTCTTACCAATTTGGCTCATATCTATTTAACTTGTATATCTCTTTCTAAGTTTTGTTTTGATAATTATTCGAAACGATCACTGGCCGATAATATAACTGCATATTGTTTACTGTAAATACATTTGTTACCATTAGACGTGAAACATTTTTGTTATAAGGGCCAAATATTCAAAAAAATCGATGCTAACAGATATGAGAAACGGGGAAAAAATTGTTTTTGTCCTTGTATTTGCATGTATAGCGAGGAGAATAAAGTTATAATATAAAAACTATTTACTTTTTCTTTTTGTCCACAAATAAAAATGTTTTTGTTTTACATAATAAAAACTAAAACATATATAATTTTTTCAATTATTTGACACAAGGTTTATCTTACTTCTATTATAAATGCGAATGTTTAGATGGATAGTTTTTTGTTAGGTTTCTGCAGAACGGATCTCAATGAAATTTGGCATACATATAGAACATAGTCTGGAAGAACACATATGCCAGTAACTAAGTTTTATTGCCGTGCTGACGGAGTCGCGGGCGACAGCTAGTTATAAATGAAAGACAAATATGTTTAAATCAAATTTAATTAACAAGATGTGTACGGCGTAAATTAAATCTATCACATATGAGATTGGTAAAACAACAGAGTATTAATATTTAAATTTAACCATAAAAAAAAACAATTGAATGAGTGTGTCACAATATGTCTCTATATTTTCATTCACGCTTTCTCTTTTAAAAACAGACTAAAAGTTACTGTAATTGAATTTTACGGAAGTTGATATTGTATGAACAACCTTAACTAAATAGGCCACGAATTTCTAAAATACATCGCACAACATTTACCTAAACTAATTTTATTTTTAGAGCTAAGTTTTATTTTCATAATTGTTCATTGTCTCAATAACATGCAAATTATGAAAGTTACCTATTTGAAGTTGAAATAATATCGATTTTGTTATATAAAAATACTAAAATCACTAAGTATTGGATTTGAATAAAAAAAATTGTCATATACCACGCGGACATGTGCTAAATCGATTGCTACCTAAAATTTTAATAGTCCGTTTCGGGTTCACGTAAAAAACAAAGTCTGTACTTCTCGTAAATTATTTTATTATATAAAGTTCATCTCATATAAATAGCACATAACCCAAACACGCTTCACGCACTGAGCGCCGCAGGGGACGCTGTGACTGCACCGCTCGGGTACTTCACAACATTCCCTGCGACGAAATTGTCATACAAATTGCAGGTAAAGTCGACAGATGAACGACACACGAGATATGTAGACAAACACAGTACAGAATAGTACCAACTGCCACAACATTGTGCCAGTCTTCAAAGACACTTAATTTCACTTGATTATTTTTGATGTATTATTTTTAATCTGTGACGTCATCTGTCAGACTTTACGTGCTATATGTGTAGTCTTAGAAGAGTAGTGTGCTCATGCCGCCCATCTCGGCCTGCTCCTTGACGAAGATCTCGAAGTACTGGTAGATGATGGTGACGGCGAGCAGGATACCGGTGCCGGAGCCGATGGCGCCGAGGAAGTCGGCTAACACGGACAGCGCGCCGATGCAGAGTCCACCGAACGCCGCCGCCGTCGGGATGTAGCGGTTCAGCTCGTGGATCATTGAGTTGTCGCGATGGCCGCGCATCACCATCTGCTGCTCCTTCAGCTGCTTCGCAACCTGGACACGCAAACAATCATGTTTCATTTATAAAAGCATTTGATCAAATAAAATTATTTTTTGTGGTAATACATTATTGCTATTCACTTTTCTTAGGAGTAAAGTTTTCATTTAATAACTATATACTTGTTGGTCTAATAAAGTCATAATAGATTAAAAAGTGGGGACCTAATGTTTTAATATTCAATTCTCCAAAATGAGCGATTTTCAACGTATAACGACCATTAAAGAAATATGAATAATTATAACAGAAAGAGACAAGAAAAACGCGTGCAACTAGACTTACATCTTTAGCGGATGATCCTGAGACGTCGATCCACGTCTTAGAGAAGAATGCGCAGGATCCGAGCATGAAGAGAATGTAGAGGAGCGCATGAAGCGGGTCGTGCGCGATGTGTGCCAGCGACTCCGGCGGACTGAAGTAGTAACACAGCCCGCCCACCGGGTAGGCGCGCGCCGGACCACCGCCGCCCACGTCCGCCCACACGCCTAGTAGATTCACTAGGAAGTTGCCGCTGAACTTTACTGCCAACATCTGGAATTGCAATTTATTACTTTCATTTCAATTCTTGATAACATTTCATAGATATTGATGCTGGAAAATCAGGACAAAAGTAATGTAGCTGTGAATGAAATATATAAACCCATAAAAATGTTAACGTTTGAAAAATCAAATCTTATAAGACCAACTAACGATACGTTAATCGTCTATTTGACCCGGATTTAAAGAGGTTGAGCAAGTTTTGTCATAAATTATTATCACATATTATATGTATGTACTAATAACATTAAAATATAAGAAAAAAAACAAACCTGCGAGATAACGTAGAGATTGGAGACGAGCGCGGATTGCAGGATGATGGGGATGTTTGAGGTGTAGAACAGCTTGATGGGGTACGACGAGTACTGGCCGCGGTACCGCGCAGACTTGATCGGTAGGTCTACACGGAAGCCCTATACAAACATAACGTAATTTATTACTAACCTTAATTCAATTAACGACATAAAATATGTCTACAATTAAAAATTACTTTTTGTAGACAACCAATAGCAAAAAAAGTATCCACAAATAAATTGTGTGGTTTAACATAATTGCTATTAACTTTCGACAGGAGTGAAAGTGAACTTTTTTGCCATAAATCTTTTTTTACAAAGAAGCAAATGCCGCAATAAGTTGTTAAATGGCAAGTAAGAATGTTGATTTAATATGAGAAATCTCCATAAAAAGACTGAATTTATAAGTAGCAAGTAAGCCTCTTGAGTTGGATGGCATGACATATATGAATACTTTACCTGGAAGTATATGACTATGGCGAAGACGAGGACGGTGGCGAGCAGGTTCATGAGGTTGGGCAGGTTCTGGCGGTAGAAGGCCTCACGCAGTGCGCGCACCTTGTCGGGTCGCGTCGCCAACAAGTGGAACAATGCGATCACAGCGCCCTCGAACTCCGTGCCGCGACCTGACATATTTAATTTACATATTAGCTAAATTTTTTTCAAGTAAACTTATAATCTACAGAATACATTAAAAAAAATATTAGATAATTTGTCTATTAGAAGCTAAAATTTGAAACACAACTACAGAATATTCTCTATGGTACAAAACACTATGAAACAAAAAAAAGATGGTTCAAGTACATACCAGTGTTAACGGTAGCAGGTGAGAAAGCCTTCCATACAATTGTCTCACAGATGTTTGTGGCAATGAACAGAGATATACCTGATCCCAGACCATATCCTGAAAATAACACATATTATAGTCTGACATATTACTTGATAATACATAAAAAAAACAATTGAATACAAAATATAATTAATAGAAATATGAGGTTATAAATTTCCGTACCTTTTTGTAACAATTCATCAAGCAACAAGACAATAAGTCCAGCAACAAACAACTGGATGATGATGAGTAGACATACACCAGCACCGATCTCACTGGGCTCACCGTACATGCCTGTCATCACATATACGATGGCCTGGCCTACTGTGATCACCATACCAAATACTGCAAACAAATATGTTAAGTTATTAACATTTCTATGTACAGTGAGTTTTTTTTTATGTTTAATTATAATTTATTTGATGACTTTGCAAATGTGTAATATACTTTCATGATTATTTAAAAGATTATATTTAGAATTTGGAACAATGCCAGATTTGAAATTGCTAAGAGAAATTGGCAATTTGCCTTTGTCATAAATGATAAAAAATTATATTATTATTACATTAGTCCTATATAATTGTTTTGCAATAAAATTATTTTAGTTTTAACTTTTTCATTGTTACATTTTGTAAATAAATTGAATTTTTTTTTTATTTTAAAAATGTTGCAACTTTTTAATGTTATCTAAAATGTAAAATGTTACATTGATAAATTATTTATCAATTTTGAGTTTACGAAACCCACACTTTTGATTTCTAAACTATTTTAAAAACATGTAAAGGATTTTTTTTAAATGTAAAATGGCACAGAATATGATCGATGACACTTAACCAACAAAGATTAAAAACTGGTTTTCCGATGAGGGAGAGCCATAAACAAGAAACAGAACAGAACAGAACAGAAAAACTGGTTTCTATAAGTTGTAATTGTTTCTGTTCAATCCTCTGCATTGTTTTATTTTTGTTGAATATTTTTTTACATAAATATTAATCCCATTAATAACACCAATTTCTTACATTTTTGTGCTCCATTGAATAACGCTCTGTCTTTTGGAGTGTCACCAACTTCAATAATCTTGGCTCCCGCTAAAAGTTGCATGATGAGACCTGATGTTACAATTGGAGAGATACCGAGTTCCATAAGCGTTCCTCTATTTGAAGCAAGGATCACACGGATCCAGTAGAAGGGGTCTGCGCTGTCCGAGGACATTATACCGAATAATGGAATCTGAAAGTAATTGGTTTTTTACTTTACATGGATATTATAGTATGAGTGTTCATAACTAATCCTAAACAATCAGTTTATTTTTTTGAACACCATATCCAGTTATTGTTGTTATAATAATATAAAAATATTGCTATCGAGAAAAATTTATTCTATTACCTAATTGTTTAAAATTCATTATAAGGTATTTTGTCCGATTTGAGCAAAACTATGCCAAGTTGGAACTGTTTTAATTAGAGATAAAAATGATAATTATTATGACAATTACATCATACTTAATGTATAATGCTAAATCTTCTCTTAAATTTAAAGATTTCATTTAATATTTGAATGGTATATGTAATAGGATATATAGTAGTAACACATTTATTCCTAAGATAACTTATGTATATAAAAATTCTACAAAATAAACATTGAAAATTTTATATTCGTGGCACAACATATGGTATGTACATATAATTAGTACATAAATCAGTGATAAGACCTCATTTCTATGTTAGGAAATGTATAATGACTTACCTGGCAGCATACTAAGAATATAAATAATGTGATTGCTGTCCATAATACTTTTTCTCGAAATTGGATCTGAAAAAGAAAAAAATAATGAATAAACTATGTTTGAAGTGACGCTAGCGAAATGGTTTACAGTTACGTACCCCAAATCAAGATATAACCTAAAACACTTTCACTTTTT